TAGTGAACAGAACTTAAGGAACCTGTGGGACATCATCAAGTGGACCAATTTACACATTGTGGAAGTCCCATAAATAAGAGAGAGAAAGGGGAAGGGGGAATATTTGAAGAAATAATAGCTAAAAACTTCCCAAATTTGATGAAGGACATTGAATATAAATGTCTAAGGTGGACGGGAGCGCTGCCGCGCTTCCCAAGCGGCGCACTATCCAGTGCGCCACCGGGCCGGCCCCAACAAACTCTTAATCCAGTCAAATTGACACCTAAAATAAACCATCACGATGGCTACAGAATTTCAGGTTTGCAAGATGAAAAGAGCTCTGGAGATGGATGGTCATGATGGTTGCACAACGATATAAATGTACTTAATGCCCCAAATTGTACACTTAAAAGTAGATAAAATAGTAAATGTTATGTGTATTTTACCACAATAAAAATTTTGGAAAAAAAAAACCACAATTAATTCACAATCCAATACAATCACTAAAATATTAGCAAAAATTTACATCTACCGATATGTTCCTCACCATTCATTCCACTCACTGCCTTACCTCAATTACAGTATCCTGCATTTTTGTTTATCACTTTCTTACTTTATATATAGCTATGACATACACACACAATCTATCTAAATAGATAGATATGCACATATATAAATACTTGCTTTAGTTTTGCTTGTCCTTGAACTTTGTGATAAGCATATAATAATATATGTAGTTTATTGCAAAGATTATACTTACCATTTCTAGAAGTTATCTTTGGCTTTTCTTAAAATCTGCCTAATTATTTTTTATAATCCCTTGTTCACTGCACAACTTTTTGTTCCCTTCACTTATTTACCTAAATGTTTTAAATGACATTTTATATGTTTTAACGATAAATAAAAATTATTTTTTCTGTTTACAAAGAACAATGAGACCATTTTTCCTTCTCTCTCTAAGTGTTTCTTTGGAAAATCTAAAAGGCCTGAGTCCTCGCTCTAACCTTGTAGAATGTAAATAAATTTCTCAGAAGGTCTGCCGTTCCTCCCTTTGAAATGTAAACATCTAGGAAGATAAAGCTCCAGGGTCCTTGTTATCTTGGGAGTTTAATGTAGGTGTAACCATTCATTTGCCAGGGAAATAAAAGAAGTTTTATTCTTTAGAATGAAGACAACTAATTAAACAAATGGCTAACCCAATTCCTAGGTGAATTTGGGGTGAAGAAATGTGAGAACAAAACAAAAACTCAACCAAAAATGCTCTGGCCACAAACTGTGATGTCAAATCTTCCTATGGAAGTGGATCGTGATACCCCCTGCCACAAGGACCAAACACCAAAGGAAAGACACCAGAAATATGAAAAATCAAGAAAGTACACCACCACCAGAAGAAAATAACTCTCAAGCTTTTTGTTGCTTTTCATTATGAGCTCCTAATTGGCATTTCTTAAGAGTAAGGGAAGCCTCAGGGGCCTGGGTTGAGATGCTCCTTTGAAGAAGATTTGTGGTTGCTTGTGCCAGACATGAGGACACAATGCCCACTCCCAACTACTTTGTTCATTCTTCAGACAGAGATTTTTCAGAATGTGCAGGTAGAGTAAAATCAAACCCTAAACTGCAAGAGGGTAGCCTGTGGCTTTGAGTTCTCAGGGGATACTTTTTCTTCCCACCTAGTACTAAGGCCAAGACAGACAAGACTAACCTGGTAGTTTTCTTTGCCAGTGAACAGACTATTTTATCTCTTAGATTCAAGTGTACCACCATTACGCAAGGGTCTCTGTACAAACTTTGCTCCCAACATTCCTACTGCCCCCTTGCATGAGCTTTACTTTCATTTTGCTGAGATGCTATTACAGCCTAAGGCTCTTTCACTTCAGCAAAAGTCCTTCAGATGGCTCTGGATTCACCTTATGCTTATCACAAGAGTTTTCAGTTCTTGTTCCCCATCTCACCCCCTGCCTCCAACCAGGACATTTCCTTTACTTTCTTGTGGCCTCAGTTAAATGTTTTGATTTGGAGAGGCGGGGGATTTTACCGGATTTTTTTCATCCAGAAGGTTTTTAAAAATACATCATCCACTATGTTGCTAGAAGAACAAATCTAAGGCACTGGCTTTATAATAGTTATGCCCCTTAGCAGCCACTATCCATCCTAAGGGATAACATGCGAACTAGGGGGAGGAGATATAGCAGATATAAATATGAAACAAATCAACTTGCAGAATGTTGTTCTCCTCAACTAATTCTCTCAGGTATCTTGAATAAATTGTAAGCACTCTCAATCTATTTAGAACTTGAATACGTAGATATTATAACACAGAATTATGGTATCTGCTTTCCTACAGGAACAGCAGATTGTTCTTTCTCCTCTTCCTCCCATTACTTTCAATAACAAGACTCTTTATCCACAATTTCCTTAGTTAAAAAAATTAAGAAATTCCTGTTTCCTATTCTCTTCCTCATGGGAATAAACTTGGAGTGATGTCAATTCATTCACGTGGCCAATTGATTTATTGGCACACCCATATGATCTGCAGTTATCAATGCACTGAAACCTCATCAATCAACTTCTTTATGAACAAAGACTAGCAACTCTTGATACCACAAACACAAAAGATTTTGACAGAACAATTACCTATTTAAGGACCACATTTTCCTTGGAGGAGAATGGGTGGCATATCATGACTTGGCTTCATAAGAACACATTGAATTTTCAAGGTGCTGCTAAGCTTGCTCTTTTAAAAACTTGGACACTCGGCCAAATGAGCCTATTTAGGCAGTGCTGTGGATTGTACTGTGTCCCCCAAAGTTTCATGTATTAGATACTTAATCCCCACTGTAATAGTGTTAAGAGGGTTGGAAATCCTATTATGGTAATCGACAGGTGGGACCTTAAAGGGGCTCCTTAGATTGTGAAGACTTTGTCCTCCTGAATGGAATGATCGATCTATTCATACAGTAATGGGCTTGGTTCTGATGACTGTAAAAGGAGAGCAACTGAGAAGTTTAGTGCTCTCTCTGTCTCTCTGAAACCATCCGCCATGTGACACCCTGCATTGCTGTAGAGCCACCACCAAGAACAAGGCCCTCATCAGATGTGTTTTCTGAACTTTGGACTTTCCAGCCTTTGAAACTGTAAGAAATAAATTCTATTTCTTTATAAATTACCCGATTTCAGGTATTTTTGTTACAGGCAACAGAAACGGACTAATACAAGGAGTACACCTAAATGATTACCATCTTGGTCCCCTCCAAAAGCCACAAAAGGTCTTGAATAAGTATTGTAACGTCTGCTCTGTTTTAGAAGAAGACTGTGGCAGTAGCGTGTGAGATGAGGGGCAAAGTAAACAAGAAGAAAACTCCCAGTGACAGAATTGAGCACGGCACGGAGCTAGTTTTGGAGGAAAACTACGATAACTACAAGCTGTGGTAATAAAACCTGCATTTGTAATACGACCTCAACCGCATTAAGCTTACTTGAACACGGCCTTTACCTAGGTAAGAAGGGATGCAAATCCTCTAGATTTCCAAGAGTTCTCTGATCATCTAAAGAGTTTTCTTCCTAGAGGTTGCCTGCATACCTCCTTGTTCTTTCTGCACACAAACGCGAGGGGAAGGAGGACGTTGGCAAAAATAAAAAAGCCAACAAGTAAGTGGCCACAGCGACAACCACAACTGCAAAGAAAAGTCTTTGCAGAAAAGAAACTGCAGCACTTTCCCCAGTCGTGGGACGTCCACAGGGGGCGAACTGGAAGATGGCTTAGCGTGGAGGCGAAACAAGAACAGGGTCACGAGCTCTCGTCCCATTTATAACTTCAGGCGCTCCCGCCAGGGTGCGGTTGGCACCAGTCGTGGAACAACTACGACCGAGTCTGGGTAAAGTTCGCCAGCTGACAGGATGGTAGCCAGGAGACCTCGAGGTGCGCTGAAGTTAGGGCGTCTCCCGCAAAGATCATTTCATAACCGCGCCCAAAAGCCGCTACCTAAGCAGGATAACGCCCTCAATCTACTCCGCGACTCCACTCCACCTTCCCATTAGCACGCGGAAGCGCACAGACGCTGCAGGATGATGTCAGCGGCTCCCGGCACCACCTCGACGACATACGGCCGAGGGCCTGTCGTAACGGCCGGGCAAGAGCCCTCGAGAGAAAGGGCACCCGCGCGGCACACACTACCCTGCTAGCCGACATGCGCGCGCAGGTCGCCAGCGGCGACCCTGGAGACTGGAGCCAATGAGGCGCGGTGACGACACTGCGTCGTAGCCGGCTCGGCCACACGTAGGGCGGAGCAAGTTCGGTTGCACCAACACCGGTACATAGTCGTGGACCGGCGTGTCCTTGGACTTAGAGAGCGGGACGTCTGGCTTCCGAGCGGTGATCGTAGTAGCACTAGCGACGAAAGAGCGGTGAGCGCCGGGCGTGGAAACCTCAGTGGTGGAAGCAGAGCTGTGGGAGGCGCGCATCTGCGTGGGGGGCGTGCGGGGGAGCCGAGGCCCGCTCCGGGGACCTCCGAGTGGAGCCCGCGTGGGGCGGGAAGGGCGGGGAGTGAAGACCCAATACTGTGGCCAGCCAGAACCCAATGGGTTCTGGCTTGAAGTGGCGCGGACCTCTAACTAGGTAGAATAATGGACTCGGTCAAGGACTGCAGGTGGCCTGGATGCGGGTCTTCCCATTGTTGGGGCTAAGGGGCTGTGGAAATGATAGACAAGACTCTCTTCGGGAGGGCCGGAGATCAACGCTTCACGTCCTCCTTCAGAGAGCAGAAGCTGCCGCTCTCATAATAAGGGGTCATTTCTTTCCCCGGCCACCTGTCGTTTCGCCCGTTAACCGCTCAGGCATCCCGGAAAGGTTTCTTTTATCGATTTCCTTGAAACCTCATGGTCGCCCCCGGGTATCTCAGAGGTGTAGGGTGACGAAGTCCCTGGGAGAACTCGCAGTTCACTTCTGCGGTCTTATTTCACAGCCAGGCAAGTTAGAGTGACCTGCTACACGTTGTGACCTGAGCAGGCTGAAACAGCCAGGGCCTCTTTTTTTTTAATCGATGTGTTTTGCCTTATTCTCAGAAGTGACTTTAAGTTATAGTATAAATAAGTAATTATGCTTTCTTAAAAATTGGAATTTTGGCCAGGGCCTCTTTTTTTTTAATCGATGTGTTTTGCCTTATTCTCAGAAGTGACTTTAAGTTGTAGTATAAATAAGTAATTATGCTTTCTTAAAAATTGGAATTTTTGTGGTTTTGCTTTAGTGTAATCGCAGTTAAACTTCTCATTTGTGACTGTTTATGACCTTGACCTCGTCTTCTGAAATTGGGGCTTGAACTAGGTTTCCACTTTGCTTACTTGGGCTTTAACCTTCCGTCACATAGATACATAGAGATATGTTTTTAAGGAGATTCTCCTACACAGTGTCTTTCGTATTAAAGAGTATTGCAAGTGTACTAAATAAAACAAAATTCATTCTGGTACTTAATGTCAAAGGTTAGCAGTAGATTAGTAATTAGTGACTTGAGCGATCATTGGTTTCCACTGTATTTGTTACTTGTGGAAAAAAATTACTAAGTTGGGTCTTTCATTTTTAGAATTAAAAATGGGTGATGTTGAGAAAGGCAAGAAGATTTTTGTTCAGAAGTGTGCCCAGTGCCACACCGTGGAAAAGGGAGGCAAGCACAAGACTGGGCCCAATCTCCATGGTCTGTTTGGGCGGAAGACAGGTCAGGCACCTGGATTCTCTTACACAGATGCCAACAAGAACAAAGGTAAGAGGTGGACAGTTGATAAATAATACAGCACAAATTGCATGAATGTAAGCTATGGCAAACTCTGTCAGGAGTGTAAAATACTTAACCAGTGCATCCTTTCCTGTTTAGGCATCACCTGGGGAGAGGACACACTCATGGAGTATTTGGAGAATCCCAAGAAGTACATCCCTGGAACAAAAATGATCTTCGCTGGCATTAAGAAGAAGGCAGAAAGAGCAGATTTGATAGCTTATCTCAAAAAAGCTTCTAATGAGTAATAGTTGGCCACTGCCTTATTTATTACAAAATGGAAATGTCTCATGACTTTATGTGTACCATAATTTAGTTGATCTCATACACCAGAATTTAGATCATGAGTGACTGACAGAATATTTTTGTTGGCAGTCCTGATTTAAGTAAGACTGGTTTGTGGTAAATATAATAGGTTTTTTGAATTTTGATAGTAATTCCAGTCCAGTAAATACTATCACTGTTTTCCCCTTCTAAAGACATGATTGGACTTGATTAGTAGTGTTCAACTTTTCACAAAGATGGTGAATGCCATCTCAGAACCTATTGGAGATTGGTTTTATATCTAGATTTATAACTGATTATATGAATAAATTTAAATACTGGAGAAATCCCTTCACAGTTTCAGAACCGAGCAAGACTCACCTTTGTTTTAATGTGTGTTCATTAGCCTGTTAAAGGCGAGGGCTGAAGTTAAAGTAGCAATGTCTACTTTATATTTTTGGTCTTAACTATGCCAATCTAATGAGAATTCCCTGTGTCTAAAATGCTGCCTTTTACTTATTGAAAACATTTTAGTTTGGTTTATGTATTATATCAAATAAGGAAGATTTAGCACTTATCATATTTTATAGATGATATATGAGAACAGATGCTTTTAAAAGTCAGGGTGACAAGATATAATACCAAGTTAAATTTTACTTTTGAATTCTTTACTAAGTCAAGCTCAGTTATAATTTAGGATTGCCTTTAAACAAGTATTCAAAAACACATAAAACTGTAGAACTACTGTGTATGTGTGATTGGTAATGGTGCTTTTGCCAGCTCATTAGAAGGATTAAAGTAAAAGAGCTATACACAAATTTGTAAATTATGTGATTATAAGACCTAAGATAATTAAAATCACAGACCATGATTTTTTGACTGTGCTTGATTTAATGACTTATGCCAAATTTTTTATTTTTGGCAGCTGGCCAGTGTGGGGATCTGAACCTCTGATCTTAGTGTTAAAAGGCTGTGCTCTAACCAACTGAGCTAACATGCCAGCCTGTTGCCAAAATTTTAATAGTTAAAAAGTATTATAGCCCTAAATACCAATGCAGCAATGTTACTAGTCATGGTACTAGATTGTGTTTACTTGGTCCTCTAGGACAGCCTGAAGTAGAACAACACTTCACTAATTCACCGTTAGAGTTTCTTTGACCGGAAGGAGAACTACAGCATTTGTGCCAGACATGGATAAAAGAATGTTTCTGGTCATAGTTTTGTGCTCTGTAACAGTGTATGGTTACATACTAGATTATTTTGTACAGTCTGTGCCATACACATTTAGAGTAGTCCTTGGAAATTTTATGGACATGATGAACTTGAACTAAACCATAAAGAATAGTGAGGGAAATCTGTGCTGATGGAGGTGAAAGCCATGTCTTCATAGGACAGTGAGGAGACTGAGAAGAGGGCCTCATCAGTGGTTTCAAAGTTGATGAGAATGATTAAATAGGCCTTTAAGGCCTGACAAAGTAATTTGTAACAAAGTTTTATTTTCATTAGTAGAACTGAGAAAGCAAGGAAGTCAGTCTGGAAACATGCAGGAACAGTTTTGGAAAGCCTGCTATAATTCAGGTTTGAAGTCCTAGTCTGAGTTACGGAGAATTAAAAAGTGCATCCTGGAAGTCCTTCAAAGATTGAGCTCCTGTAACAGGATTTGGTAACTGCATTAAGCTAGTGGTATTCAGAGATGGGTTAGCAATTAGCTTGTAAGGGACAGTTCTAGACAAATGAGAAAACCTGAAGGCCAGGGAGTTGATTTTCATATATTTTTGCATCCTGGGAATGATACAATAAATGAGCATTATATTAAGATGGATATAGAAATCGGCTAAATCTAAAACCTGAAGGCCAGGGAGTTGATTTTCATATATTTTTGCATCCTGGGAATGATACAATAAGCATTATATTAAGATGGATATAGAAATCGGCTAAATCTTGATAGTTATTGGACCTTTTATTTTGGTTTACAAATCTAGAAAATTGATTTTATCATTTAACCCAGAAGTTATCAAGCCCTGGTGACAGGCATCATCAAATTGACAGACGCTGGTTAATTCATATATAAGGTATACCTTTCTTGAGAACTTGGTTTGATTGTATATACAGAGCATCTCTATTTATTAATAATAACTTAGGTTTAATTTTTCTACGGGTTTAAAAGTGTTTCTCATTTCTATGCCTCCTACATCAGCTAAGGGGTGTGTTGGCACAGATGAGTACCCACCATATTCTAGGCCAATTATACTCAAATAAGTACCTGTGGTGATTTATAATGTACGTCATCCAGTAATTAATTTAAAAGAAGAGACATTCCTAGCTTTAAAGGGGTATATACTCTTAAAAATAAGGAAATTGGGACAAAAAAAAGCTAGCACTCGGTAACCTATAGTCTTCATTCCTAGTGCTTCAATGTAGGTGGCTAGATTAATGGTCAAAAATGAGAGCCAGATGTATTTAAGGGGTATTTCTTCCAAGTGCCACCTACACTCTGGATTTTGTCAAGAACAGCACTATCTAGTATGGTAGCTACTAAACCACATGTGGCTCTTAAGCCCTTGAAATACGGCATAACTGAAGAACTGAATTTTTAATTTTATTCAACTTTAACTTAAATTTACATAGCCACAAATGGCTAGTGACTGCTGTATTCATAGTATGGGTCTAGAACTAGAATCAGTGATCTGTAATGAAAGTGCATCCCCTGGACTCTTATTTTCTTAATCTATGATTCTTGCAAGTACGCTGTAATGCCCTTCAGAGCACTGATTCCAGTTCCTGTTTCTAAACCTGATGTGCTCATCTCTATATTTTACTGTATGTTTTATCTGTTGCATTTGTAAGTTGGTAATTTATTTTAAATAGGTGGCATTCTGGTGGTAGCTAGGATGCACCTTTTTGTCATCTTTCTCCTGCATTTTTCTCCAGTTTCATTATAGACAGTATAGTGTACATTTTCACACTGAAGATCACTGTAAATTATAAAAGGTATGATGGAATCTACATGCCTGTCTAAGAAGAGGTCTTACCAGGGACTGCCCTTCAGGCTGTTTCATATTGGTCAAGCTCAAGCAAGAGTAAACTAAAACCAGTGTTTTTACTGTGGAGAATATTTCTTTCTAATGATGGGCTCTTTTGGCTCTCCTTTGTCTTATCAGAGTATCTTGAAAGCCAACTAAGATGTTGCTGAGCATGGATGAGAGCTATATAGTTTGTATAGGCAAGGCTTTTGCCAGACAGAGCATACAAATACACCTCCACAGTGACCAGAAAGTTGGTCTCCCAGATGAATCTCTTCTCGGCAGTGAGGTTCTTTGGCTGCATTTTTGTGCCTCAGACTTACCACCGTCCTGGTGTTCACATCCTTAGAGTATAATACAACATATTAGATTTCCACTTAAAAACAGTTGGATTCCAGGTTATCCCAGTTGGAGTCTGGGGGATTTGAAAATTGGCCATACCCTCAAGCTATCTCTTGTTTAATTCAGAAAGCTAAATAGATTTGATGTGTTGGTTTATTTCTCAAAGAGTAAATAAACATCCAGGTTCTTAGGAGGAACTTTACTAGCAGTCTCCCTACGTATTGCCAACAAATATAATACAGCTTTTCATACATAGAAATATAATATGGGGAGGACCAGTGTGAAGTAATTGATAGATACATCATTCACAGTTTTTAGAAATGGCCTGGCAAAAAATGGCAAGACACAGGGCTGGCCCGTGGCTCACTCGGGAGAGTGTGGTGCTGATAGCACCAAGGCCCCGGGTTCGGATCCCATATAGGGATGGCCGGTTCGCTCACTGGCTGAGCATGGTGCTGACAACACCAAGTCAAGGGTTAAGATCCCCTTACCGGTCATCTTTAAAAAAAAAAAAAAAAAAATGGCAAGACACAGGGCTGGCCCGTGGCTCACTCGGGAGAGTGTGGTGCTGATAGCACCAAGGCCCCGGGTTCGGATCCCATATAGGGATGGCCGGTTTGCTCACTGGGCACCAAGGCCCCGGGTTCGGATCCCATATAGGGATGGCCGGTTCGCTCACTGGCTGAGCATGGTGCTGACAACACCAAGTCAAGGGTTAAGATCCCCTTACCGGTCATCTTTAAAAAAAAAAAAAAAAAATGGCAAGACACAGACTGACTGACTTGCTGGAACTTTGGTAAAATATCCCTATTTTAATCACATTAGTGAAGTCTCAGGATGTTGGAGTTGGAAGATACCTGAGAGATTTCTTAACAGTCCAACTGTGCCATTATACAGATGACAGGTGAAGTTCACCTGAGCTGAGCTTATATAGCTAATGAGGAGCAGCTTTGAAACCAGAACCAAGCTATCCTGAGTCCAATTTGGTCTTAGTCAAAGCCTGTTGCCAGACATAAACTAATGAACTTCCTTTTTGCTTTTTCTTCCTCTATTCACAAGAAATGTAGCTATGTTCCACATTGGTGGCCATATTAAATATGTTTATATAAACTTTTAAACATGTTAAATTTAACATTTTAGGGGTTTTTTTGTTTGTTTTTGGTTTTTTTGTGGCTGACCGGTAAGGGGATTCAAACCCATAACTGTTTAAAGCTGTGCTCTAACTACTGTTTAGAAGTAGTTTGAGAAGAATCATTGGACTAGTTCATTGTATTATCTGTGGCATAACAGAATGCTGAGCCTGGGTTTAGAAAAATTGTGTTTAGTGTGTAAACTATCAGTAAACAGCCCGTGGGCTCAACCCCAGACACTTGCTTTTGTAAATAAAACTATTCACAATCACATTCGTTCATTTATTGCCTACACCTGCTTTCATCCTGCATTAATAGTCATGACGGAGACTGGAAGGTCCACAAAGCCTAAAATATTTACTGTATGGCACTTTACAGAAAAAGTTTCTCAGCCCCTGGCTGAGAGCTTTGCTTTGCCAATCTGATTAACACAACCTCATTTTTGACGTTTGGAGAATAGGAATAATTAACACAACCTCATTTTTGACGTTTGGAGAATAAGAATAATCTCTACTTCAAACAATTCGTTGAATGACATAAGGAAAAGCCCATAACTGGCAAGCATTGAAAGATGTTTATTTTATATCTATGTTAAATTCCTTAAAAGTCAGATAGTGAAAAATTCTACTTTCAAGGTTAGCAGTAATCTGTTGGTTCTGATAATCCCTGTGACATCCGACACCCTTGACTGCGCTTATTTTTTTCACCTCCCTTGGTTTAAGTTAGTTTCACATTCACATGGAATAAAACACATAAACATCATAAAATCCTAATGCACATGTAGCTGTAATGATCTGTTGATAACTCAGATACATACTGTTCAATTACATCAGAACAGTAGCGTGACATTTTGCCCAGGTTGTAGTCCCATAACTCAAGATTGTTTTGTGGATATAAGGTGCATTCACATCTCAGTTCATCCTCACCACCTCATAAGGTATATGGGACAGGTATTGTCCCTATTTTGTAGATAAACCTCAAAAAGGTTACTGCCAAAAGTCCCACAGATGCATTACCTAGTAGTAGTATCACATGTACTGACACGTGCCTTTCCACGGGACCTTCATATAAACTGGGTCGTCTGTACTAGTCTCTTTACAGAACACTTTCACACTTCCTTTCCTTATTAGAAACTGGGTTTCTCCAGGCCTGTGCACCTCTGTAGCCCTCACAAGTAGAGCCTACTCGTTCTTCCGCACAGTCTACAGCAGACGTGTAGTCTTGGCATCTTTTCTAGATCATCACTATTCCTCTACTTGTGATGGATTCTTGACGTCTATGTGGACGCTGTCATTTCTGTACTTCTGGACCATTGTCACATTCACTGAGAACTTCACCTGGCTTATGATACCTACCCCAACCCCTCTTTTTCTTTT